ACCGTCTTCACCTGGAAAGATCGCCCGGTCATTGTAGCTGTGTTTGGGCGACTTTCAGTCTTGTGCAAGGAATATGAGCAAGAGCGATATACAGAAAACCAAGTTGCGAAATCACACAGATGTCCAAGTCATGTACAAGCAGAGAGCGCAAATCCACCGAGATTCCATCCAGATAAGAGCAATACAATGAACTCACGAGCCAATGTCCAAGCCCTCAGGCCACACCAACACCGTATCCAATGTCGCTCCTACTCTGTGTGGCGCTCAGCCCCCAGCCTACGCTACTCGCCTATCCTACTACACCAGCGTTCACGCAACAGGCTCACTTCGACCTTGAAGACCAATGTACATGACGTCAACACCATAGCTGACCTCCCTCATGCACCAGGTATGTATTTCGTCTCTCCTCATCACCCCTGACTTTCCACAGTGTGCATTCTCAACACCCAAAGACCACCATCGCCATCCAGACCTGTGCCCAGCAGCCCGGCTATGGCTGCCGTGTGCCCACTGGCCAGCAGTGCACCTCACACCTCAGCGCCCGTGTGCACGACCCAGCCGGCAGCTTCGTGCAGATCACGAAGGTGCAACGCAGCAGCGTGGCCACATTGCCTGCCTGGGCCACAATACCCTGCCCAGTGATGCTCACTTTCCTATGTGGAAAGTGAGCTCAGCCTCTGCTGCCTCTGGGCCTGGCTGGGCGAGCATCCAGTAGCTTCCAGTCGGGCCTCAATGCCTGCATCCAGGCCCAGTTGCAGTTACGGGCCTGGGCCCTTTACAGTTGGGCACGTCCAGGCAGTCCATGGGCCTCCACATGTTCGCCGTGATCTCATTGGCTCACGGGCACTTTGTGCCGACAATGCTGCAATCTCATTGGTCCGTGGTTGTTGTATGATCTGTCGGCCTCTGAAAGCACACGCCCAGGGCCTTAACTGTACGGGGCCTTGGGCTCAACTGCCCGTCGAGGCTGCAACTTCCGGACAGAGCTTGAGAGGCTCACGTTGCTCTGTAACCAACTGGCATGCTGCAACTGTCTGATACCCACATATGGAAAAATGTTAAATCTTGGCCTCTTGTGAATATTCAATCCTGCCTTCACTTAGGGCGGGCACAGGGCTTGCTGAGGGCCTCTGCCCAGAACATGTGCATGTCTGTTAAGGGCCCCGCGAGGTCTGATTCCCGCACATATACGACCCCTTTAGGGTGATCACACTGGCCTGTACCCAGGCCTTGGCACATATTGGCAGGCCCGCCTTCACTTAGGGCGGGCAAGGCCTTTCCCAGCACTGCCGAGGAGTCAAATCCTCATATACCTTCCCCCTTAGCTTTGAAAGTCTCGTGAGAAGCCTTTAAATTCTTCATCCACCTGATGTCTGCAGTGACTTGGTGCAGTAGAACTTCTTGGAAGATGCAGAAGATATGACGTCCAGGAGGCCTTCTTTGGGATGTCTCTATCCATGGTTGGGGGCAGCACGCATGCTTAATGAATGATATAATCAGTTTTCATCATCTATGCGTGCACGCAGGTATCCTACAGATTGAGGAGGCTTTACACTAATGTGGGTACTATAGGGGTGACCATCCCAATCAAACCCGAAACCAAACCAGGAACCAGATTATAGACGAGACCAGAATTCAGACCAGACTGCTTACTACCCCTTTAATGAGCTATGGCAGTATTCTAGATGTCAAGTCTCTATGTAACTTCTCGTGGCCTAACTTAGACTCAATCTCCTTACTTGACATAAAGTTTGTCTACTGTGCAGTGATCCTGATGTAAATCAACAACCCACAGCAGCTGCTTATGCGTAAACTTCTGAGCTGGCATACAGTGGTGTTGATAATCAGGTTTCAGATAGGAAGGAGTTCACTATTTGTGTAAGCTTGCAGCATAACTGGCACAACATAAAAAGTCCTTTTACGGTGCTTCAAGATGTCTTCCTGAAGGTATTCCGCAGTTAGCTGTCCTTCTGTCTCGGCCACTTGCTTTTTTGCAGTTCGGTTATAAGGTAGACATCTCTAGATGGTTTGAGCAGTTAGGCAGTCTGGTAACCCATGTAGGTCTGTCCGTACCTTAGTTAGCCCTTGAGGTCTCAAAAATTGCGATTTCCTAGCTTACTGCAAAGATCAGTCCTTTCCGCAAAATACCTTACACTTCTCTGTCCCGCTGGTTTCACATACATTTGAGAAACAGATCCAGACGGAGAAAGAAGGTTTTGTATAACGTGGAGGACAACCATAGGCATTACCATAGGTTCTCTACATTCTATCCGCGTTCAAAATGCCCAGTTGCATGTTCATTTTTATTCTAAAAATAAGTTACCCAAAAGTGTTTATTATAATATTTTAATTAGTAAAATATGAAATTAAGTTTTATATTATTTATATGAAGATCCTCGGTCTTCGCGTCCCCATCTCTTTTAGTTAGATTTTCATACATATAATGATCTCTAGGGGTACGTATATGGCCCTATCCGTCTCTCTTTCGTTTGATTCGCCAGTCATCATGTCATAACATAAGAGTCACCCTATAGTCCTTTCCTTCAAGGGAAGGACTGTTAACTATCTGTTGGACAACCTCCCTGTCTATGATTCCTGGCCGTTTCCAAGGAGATACGAACATTAAGCGACAGCATTTTCTCTCTCAGAAGAAGCTTAATAGGCCTGCCCCTCCGAGACTTCGAGATTAGGCAGATATCCCACCCTTGGTTCTGTCTGTCCCCATAGGGACACTTTAACCTTGAAGTGGTACCTCCTAGCGAAATGTCACAAACAGCTTGTCGCTATCCGGCAAACAAGACTAGTGTCCACAATTGCCTTGCCTTCCCCCCTTAGCTGGAGGAACAGTGGTACAGTAATCGTGAAGCCCTTACACGTCTTTTGATGTCCCCTACGACAGACTCTACAGTTCTCCTTGGCCGCTGCACTAGGTCCTAGAGCACATCATTCCCACACAAAAACGACAAGTGTAGTCCCAGGTAGAGTCATCGTCTGCAAGAGCCCTATCAGGTTAAGGCCGTTTAACATTGACTTCTACCAACCCTCGGGACCTCAACTATGGTCACCCAGGCAGCTAACGGGTCTTCCATAGACCGCTTTCCAGGTAGCTCCTCTAAGGAGTCAGACACATCTCATGATCAGAGCATCATGTGGTCTAGTTGTGCCTGCAGGGTGACTAAGGAGCCAGTAACCTCGGCCACCATTTGAGAAGGTGAGGGAACGTCTACCAACTCAACATGCGTAGAAGTGGTTACAACCTCTACGGGCCGGATGTGTATACCCTGGGAACTGTTCGCAGTGCTTTCCCAGGTTGAAGATGCTCCATCCTCTACTTGAGGATGCACCCTCATGGTAACCAGCTTGTTTTGACATTGCCTCTTGGTATGGTCGTATAAGCCACACCCTTGCAGAAGTCCCTCACAAAAAGGTCTCCCACACACATCCTCTGCAAGATCCTGTCTAATCCGCTTAGACTAAGTAGGATCTTCACTTTTCACTCCTAGACTGGTTGCCTGTGTGTCCGATTTCCGATTCAACACGGGTTCCGCGTTGAAATATTCAACGCGCGTTGAATTCGCGTTGAACTCCTGTTCAAACGCGTGTTAGACACGAATTAACGGGGTCCACGATGATGTTTTTCCTGGGCTAAACATAATCCAAAAAAAAAAAAAAAAAAAAGGGGTTGTTGGCTAGGTTACCTGAGCGGACATCCGGGACCCCGGGAACGGTCAGGGTTGTCCGACCGGACCATGGGGCCAGTGGTCCGCTGTCCGATGAAGGTCCGGCCCCTGCGGAAAATAGGGGCCAGGTCTGGAAGGGGCATCTGGGGGGTTGGAGGGTCAGGCCATGTAGTAAGAGGCCCTGCTGGACCTCGGTCCCCACAGGCCGAGGCCAGCAGGGCCAAAAAAATCGAAACAGAAAAGGTCCGACGTGGGCCGTCCGATCGATCCGATCGACGGCCCGGATCGATCGGACGGCCCAGATCGGGCCTGAATTCAAATTCGAATTCGGGTTGGA